GGGGGTGCCCTCATAACCTTCTATGTTCACTTCCAAACACAGTTCTGTGTGGATTTTACTGAACAACACGGAACAACGGCACAAGAAATGTAACTTTGACGTTTTCAAGGCCACTCAAGCCTTGGACGCTATTTTCCCCCACAATGTTACTTCTCTCGCACCAAGTGACCCAAACCTCCTCCAATCACAAAAAAACATCTAAACTTCTGAACAAGAAAGTCAAACATTTTCTTCATCAAAAACAAGACAAATGAATAAAAGCTTTCAGTTTATACCAACTACATATATAAGTGTTAGGACGAGTTGGAATCAGGCGCTCGTCAATTTTTGCACATCCGGAGTTGTTGGTATTATCTTAAAGCTTGTTCATTTGACTACGTCTCTTGTAAAATATTAATACACATCTATCTTAAATAGAAAGTTGAGATATTTGCGATTGAAAGAGGTCGGGGAGACCTGGATTTAGAGGTATAAAATTAGCGATAAAATGACCCCCAAAAGTAGTTGATTTCCAAAGCTAGATTCCTTGGAAACTGAACATTTACATTTGTTGAGTGTTTAATAAATCTAAATGCTTTTTTCCACATTGAAATATCTTCTTAAATGAACATTAAAGGTGTTGAGCCAAAAAACAAAAAAAAACAGAAAAAAAAAAGTCAAACTGTAGGAAAAGGCCAGTTTCTTCACTTTCATTATTTTGACTAGCGCCTGATTTCACAACGTTGCCTCACATATACGCCCTAAACCGCCGAGCCCCTGATCCAAGCACAGCGGTAATACGGGGCGCCCATTATGGCTGGATCGGGCCCATCGCCTGACTCGATCTGAAAACAAAAATACGTTTGTTTTAGAGGTGGCCTGATCTGCCAGTCCCATCTGTAGTGGGCACCCCGTATTATAAGTGTCGTCAGAACTCACTTGTTTGACGTTCCCCACAGAGCGAGTGAACACAGGGAGACCACTGCCGCTGGTCACACAGATGAGGTACAGGCCGTCCATACTGACCACTGTCCAGGGACCTGACCGGGGGGTGGGGGGGAAGAAGGAGATTTTTAATGATTATAATGATTATGAAATATTAGCTTTCATCTCCCTCTTTCTCTCTCTCTCTCTCTCTCTCACACTCACACACACACACTTTTCCCACTGCTCACTGTCTCACACTCTCTCTTACCTCCCCCCCCCTCCTCCTTTCCCTATTTTCCCATTACTCTTTCTGACTTTTATTCTCAACACTAAAGCCTTCAACTAATTCTATCTCGGTCTCATACAAAGGCCATTTTGATAAAGTACAGTCAAACCTGCTAACCATTACCTGTCCAAGACAAACACACCTGTGGAAACGACCACTTCCCACCTGCCACCTTGTGTTTCTACACAATAAATGACACCATCCGAGATGACTACCTGCCTACAATGACTATCTCTGCCAAAGAAGATAACCATTTTTCTCCCAGTGACATTCGGTGACGTTCTTGGATACTTTCGACAGTATCTTATCATCAAGCTTGCCAACTTTTTCAAAACCTCGTTGAGGGCACCCAATGTTATGACATCACGTTACAACATTTAAAAAAATGATAAAACAAACAAACATTATACACGTGTCGCAACAGGTTTTGGTGTGTATTGTAATTCTATCCTCTCAACTCCAGCAGTCTCGGGGAATCCGGTACAGCTGACAAGCCTGATGTTGTTCTGTTCACTACAAAGAAATGTAGGAAAGTTTTCCGTCAACTTCTTGTACCCTGCGCTGACGCCAAGAGCAGTTGTTGTTGTTGCAGCTGGTAAGTCCCAGGTTTGTGTCAGGTCAAAGTCTTTAAACTCCCCCCCCCCCAAAAAAAAAAAAAAAAATTCAAAAATTCAACAAAATGAACCCACAAACCCTATAATACACAGTGTGAATCTATTCAACTCAAGATGCGATTAGAAATTAATTGTGGCATGAATAATATCTGAGGTGAAACATTTTTTGTTGAGGGTTTTTTTCTGACAGGAATGAAAACAGCACTGAATTTACTACACTGTAACAAGAAAAAGACAGTTTTGAAACTTTCACTGTGTTAAAACTGTTAAATAGACAAACTATGATACAGCCTCTCGTCTGCAACAGCTCTACACGTTGCGGCCTATTCAAATCTCAATGAGATCTAGATCTAGATCTAGTCAATAGTATAAAACAGACTAGATATAATCTATATTGGTTTTATAATCTAGTAAATAATAATATTAAATTACTATATTAAACTCCTGTACAGCAGTTTCAATGCCGACTAGACCTAGATTAGATCTATATCTAGATCTAACATCTACTCCAACAGCCTCACAAACCAAACAATTACAACTTTTTTAAGTACTTCTAAAATGATCCACTGCAGCTTGCTCATTATTCCCATAACTAACATATTATGGTACACACTGACTACTAACTCTACTGACCCTAGACAACCAGTTATCTCTACAACAGTAATATTTTAGGCGTTAAAAGTTAGTTGTTAAGTTACTAGATCTATATATCTATGACTATCATGACTACGTTGTTAGCCGGCAAGATCAAGACCAAGAGAGCAAATATTGCCCAAACCTACCATTCAAAGTTCAAGGGACGTCTCAAAGACAGGGAAAGCAAAAGGAAACACAGATACGTATGTAGATCTAGGGAGCGCACTGATTTCAACACTTTCGACTGTTCATTTGGATATATTTTCAGGACTGGCGGTTACGTTCCTTTGGTTCTGTCTTCACCGGTTCCTCAACAAAAGCGAAGAATGTCCGCCATATTTGTAAACAAAACGAACAAAACCAGAGTTGCTTCCCTTGCTAACCTGATTTCTGTAAAACATGGAAGACTGAGAGTTGAGAAGAAACGATTGAAAATAATTAAAACGATAATTTGTGTGTATGTGTGTATCTTGGCGTATGTTCCTCTCTCTCTCTCT